TGTGTGTGTGTGTGTGTGTGTGTGTGTGTGTGTGTGTGTGTGTGGAAGAGTGAGAGAGAGAGAAAGAGAGAGAGAGAGAGAGAGAGAGAGAGAGAAAGAGAGAAAGGGAAGTAGAGAGGCCAAGCTAGACAACGAACGGTCTTGTCGCCTAAAGGTTAATTGGTTAGAAACACGTATCAATCACTCCAGACGGACAAGTGAATTCGACAATTGTGTCATCAGGGTGGTGCCTAGCGGTGGTGGTCAGTGGGGAGGGGGGCAGTTGCCACCCAAGACCTTGAACCAACTGCCCACTGTCCACTGCCCAGACTTCGAACAGCATGTGCCCTGCTCGCGAGGCAACACGAATTAGTTATATGGCCCTAGATCCCGTTGTCAAAAACAAAATCGGTCTTTAAATTAGTCTCAACATTAACATTTTCTCGTAGATCGGACCTCTATACACTGCGTATGAGAGACTCGTAACTTTACCACATTTCTGGCAACGGTATATAAGAAATCGTTTCTGGCAAATTTTGTTCCACTTTGTTTCTGGCAACGGGCCCGTGGTCACTGCTATCTCGCGACGTCACTTGTGTGAATATAGCCATCGTCAATACACAGGCATCTGGGAGGTACCACTAGTGAATTGGCTGGACACCAACGATACGCTGTGTGCCGAGGTCGACAACTGTTACCTGCCCAACGACAAGGAAGAAGCTCTTCAACTCTTCCGCCAGAACTTCCGCCGGCACTACGAACAGAACCGAGCGCCATTTGGGTGAGTCGAGTATAATATATACTCACAAAACTTAACAGCCACACTATAGGTTTATTGATAGGTGTAGATGTATTGATCGGTATATGTGTATTGATAGGTATAGGTATATTGATAGGTATAGGTGTATTGATAGGTATAGGTGTATTGATAGGTATAGGTGTATTGATAAGTATATGTGTATTGATAGGTATATGTATATTGATAGGCATATGTGTACTGATAGGTATATGTGTATTGATAGATGTAGGTGTATTGATAAGTATATGTGTATTGATAGGTATAGGTGTATGTGTATTGATAGGTATAGGTGTATGTGTATTGATAGGTATAGGTGTATGTGTATTGATAGGTATAGGTGTATTGATAGGTGTAGGTGTAGTGATAGGTATATGTGTATTGATAGGTATATGTATATTGATAGGTATAGGTGTTTTGATAGGTATATGTGTATTGATAGGTATAGGTGTATTGATAGGTATATGTGTATTGATAGGTATAGGTGTATTGATAGGTATATGTGTATTGATAGGTATAGGTGTATTGATAGGTATATGTGTATTGATAGGCATAGTTGTATTGATAGGTATAGGTGTATTGATAGGTATAGGTGCATTGATAGGTATAGGTATATTGATAGGTATATGTGTATTGATAGGTATAGGTGTACTGATAGGCATAGGTGTATTGATAGGTATATGTGTATTGATAGGTATATGTGTATTGATAGGTATAGGTGTATTGATCGGTATATGTGTATTGATAGGTATAGGTATAAGTGTATTGATAGGTATAGGTGTATTGATAGGTATATGTGTATTGATAGGTATAGGTGTATTGATCGGTATATGTGTTATTGATAGGTATAGGTATATGTGTATTGATAGGTATAGGTATATGTGTATTGATAGGTATAGGTATATGTGTATTGATAGGTGTAGGTGTATTGATAGGTGTAGGTGTATTGATAGGTGTAGGTGTATTGATAGGTGTAGGTGTATTGATAGGTGTAGGTATAAGTGTATTGATAGGTATAGGTGTATTGATAGGTGTAGGTGTATTGATAGGTGTAGGTATAAGTGTATTGATAGGTATAGGTGTATTGATAGGTGTAGGTGTAGTGATATGTATATGTGTATTGATAGGTATATGTGTATTGATAGGTATAGGTGTATTGATCGGTATATGTGTTATTGATAGGTATAGGTATATGTGTTATTGATAGGTATAGGTATATGTGTATTGATAGGTATAGGTATATGTGTATTGATAGGTATAGGTATATGTGTATTGATAGGTGTAGGTGTGTTGATAGGTTTAGGTGTATTGATTGGTATAGGTGTATTGATAGGTATATGTGTATTGATAAGTATAGGTATAGGTGTATTGATAAGTATATGTGTATTGATAGGTATAGGTGTATTGATAGGTATAGGTGTATTGATAGGTATAGGTGTATTGATAAGTATATGTGTATTGATAGGTATAGGTGTATTTATAGGTATAGGTGTATTGATAGGTATATGTGTATTGATAGGTATATGTGTATTGATAAGTATAGGTATAGGTGTATTAATAGGTATATGTGTATTGATAGGTATAGGTGTATTGATTGGTATAGGTGTATTGATAGGTATATGTGTATTGATAAGTATAGGTATAGGTGTATTGATAAGTATATGTGTATTGATAGGTATAGGTGTATTGATAGGTATAGGTGTATTGATAGGTATAGGTGTACTGATGGTAATAGGTGTGTTGATGGTAATAGGCGTACTGATATATGTATACTAATATATGTATATATTATAATTAATAAAATTACAAATTATAATTATTATTTATATGTGTGATTTCTCCAGCATCCACCTGCGTGCGCGCTGGTTCTATTCCGCTCACTACAATCTGGAAGCCCTGCAAGAATTCCTCGCAGAACTAGAACAACTCAATGACGTATGGCTCGTCACGATCAGTGACGTCATACGCTGGATGCGTAACCCCGTGCCGAACTCTCGCGCAGAGGAATTCTTCGATTGCGATTTCACGAACAGGTACACGTTTTTTTCTTGCACTGTTGTGTTTTTTTTACACTTAGTGGTAAGGTTCTACTTAGTAGGGCTGAGAGGGTCTATGTCCTCTAGGGTACTGCCGGAACGTACCCTGGGGGACATAGACCCTATGAGCCTTAGTAGGTGTATCGACTTTCTCTTAGTTCGATGTTAAGCAAAATAAACGAGGAGTTTAGAGCAGTTTCCATATAGGGTCGAGGAGGTCTGTGATTGTAACTTCACGAACAGGCATGTTTTTACTGTGGTAGGCCTGTTACACTTCAGTAGGTGCATCGTCAATCCCCCTTTTCCTCATTACCAAGCAAAAAAGGGCAACATTTTGAAAAAAAATTACGTATAGGGGGAGATAGCATCGTAGCAGATCGTCGGCAACGGGTTCGTGACGTCACGAATGGCTTCATAGATGGCGAATGGCGAGCGTCGTGCTTGGAATTATGATAATAATTTTTCAAAATAACTCCTGCGATTTGCGCGAATCCTATGTTAAGCTTCGTACCAGTAGCCAATGAAAAATCTTTTCCGTTCCGTATCACCAACAGGTTGCCAGCCTGCCTCGGTAGTCTACTGTGCGAGTATATGAACGTGACGCACATGCCAAACAGTGAGGATCACCCCGGTGACCGGTTCCTACACACGTGCGCCGACCAGTGCCCGGATGTTTACCCGTGGCTAGGAAACCCAACGGGAAGCGCCAATCCCTAAGTATTGTGTAAGATTGTGTAAGATATACCCGCAGGGCGAAAGTGAATATAATCCGTATGATATATATTAGTGAGAGACGTAGTGCATTTCGTATGATATATATATATATATATATGTATATATACAGGGGCGTAGCCAGGGGTGATTCCAGGCATTCCGGAATCCCCCTGGTTTGTATCAAAATAGCACATATCTGATACAGTAGTATGTATATAAAAGCATGAAACGAAAATTTTAACGACGTTTTATTAGTATATAGTAGATTTGGAATCCCCCCCTATTGGAAGGAAATAGGAATCCCCCCCTCTTGGAAAGGCTGGCTACGCCCCTGATATATATTAGTGATGGGGGTAATTTGTAGCGTTGAATATCATGATGTGTAGCGTGTAAGATCACGGCGCCCCCTCGTGGTAATTTGGAGCTATAATATTGATACCCATCACATTAAGATATGGTAGTATAGATATTAAGATGTAAGAGTGAGATCATAATTAAAAAGAAATATAAGAGTGATATTATCGAAGAGAAAGAATATGGCGGAATCAGATAATCTTATTTCAAGAAGCAAGATTGAGATTAAGAGAAGCTTACAGGAAACGCGTGCAGCAAGAATGTGTAGAGTAATCGATTTTGAATTTTGATAATATTTATAGACCAGATGAGCTAATCCCGCTAAACAATTCTAACAGTGCTAGTGTGCTGCTAGTGCTACAAATGACTGATTCAAATAAAAAAATACACAACGCAGGAAATGAAGTAGGAAGTTTTTCTAACGAGACGATCACGTTTTGCTCGTAGGAATACGTATAACAAAAAAGGAAATTCACACAATTTCAACAGAACTTCACTTTCAAAGAACAATTCTTTGCAATCAACAAGCAAAGGTCGGATGTCATGTCACCATATTCGCCGTAAACTAAATTAAGTACGTCTCATACGAGCGGACAAAACTAAAATATTCAACGATGTAAACTTGATATATAATATAAACGTAAACGTTGTTTAGCGGAATCATATTTATTTACATATACACGCATGCACACGCACGCACACGCACACGCACAGACGCACCCACAGACTACTGTGCACGCACGCGTGTACGCGCACACACAGGCACATGCATCTTTGAGTGATTTTCGTTGATATTCTTGTCGTGGATTATCAGTGTCCTTCAGCGAAATTTTTTGATGCCGCCGGTCTTTTTGTAGATTTCGGGTAACCGTTCGGCGCCTTTCGTGTTATAGACGGACCCGACTATATGTTTTCCTATCTAGCCAACCACTTTAGAATTTTTTTTACTTTACAGTAGCTCAGTTCACAACTTCACTTCGCGATAAGGAAGTTTTGTCAATTTTTGTACACCTTACATGAAGGCACTATTCCGCGTTACGCAGCCATATGATAGAGACCGCATATAGCCGCCCTGGCATATGCATAGATACCTAGATTGAATTAGATGGACTTGCGCCATTATGAACAATGAAAAGCACTTGAAGTAGTATGCAGTATGTAAAATGAGATCCGGATTTTGTACAAATTCGTATCGTGTCGCTAGCAAGTTAAAAGTTAGTCGCTGTGTTAAGTCTATACGTTGAAGCGGTGCATGGTCATGGTCATGAATGAAACGCATATGTTGCGTATGCACAATTCTCAAGCATTTACACATAATTTTGGTGATAGAGCCATGTAAAAGAAATTTTTTACTTGATCTAACGATATAAGTATGATGCTAATCATATAATTTCTATCTTAAGGCACTGCTCTGATGCATGTTGTCAACGACTGCCATCTATTGGCGGGACCATGACCATACTGGATTTCACCTAAAATACGCGGACGCATGAATATATATAGAAATGAAATTCCGGTAGATCGAATTATATCGATTATATTCGATTATTGGGACATCACTACACAAATATGCTAACTAGATACACCAACACATATAAGTTTTTAAATCGTTTATTTGAAAAAATTACACTATTTACACTATTACGAACTACGACAAACTACAAGTTGTGCAATTAAAACTATACTATGTATAATCCAATAAAAACCGTGAAATGAACAAGGACAATACAATATAACAGCAGAACAAACTAATACGAAAGAAACAATTGCAACAAATAAAAAGAACGACTAAATACTACACGTAGACCGATTCTTTTACAGAAACAAACAAGAAAATTATTAACCTCTTTGTACGTGGAACACAAATAAACGGACGTACACTGCCTAGATAATTAAAAACCATGTATATATATATATATATATATATATATATATATATAATACTAATAGTTTTTATCATGATAAAAAAACTGTACAATACTGTTTCAATTCTTAACTCCACGATGAAGACCATGATGATATGATGCAACTAAAAAAACTGTAATGTACACACTGCTTGTACTTTTCTAACTACCAATAAATAATAATAACAATATTGCACTGAACTCTTCACACGCACTTCCTGCGCGCAGAATGTTTTCCGTTACAACGCACGTTACTACGCACGTTACTACAAAAAAGGAGACGAATTTTGTGACAAAAACAAGAGATGTTATTCAACATCATGCAAACGAACGAGTATAAAAAAATACTTCGTGGAACAAACAACGCACAGAACACACAAACGATATAAATATTAATAATAATTATGTAAAACAATTTTTTCGACCACGATCTCCTTTAGTTCGTCAGAGCACACTTTCCCCAGCTGCTTTCTACATGTGTAAAAAAAAACACAAAACATCTCAAAATACACGACTAAAAATAAAATAAAAAAATAACCATAGTTAACCTATAGTTTTTTTTTATGGAGTGATTGCACAAAAAATCTGATATACTAAATATTAAAGTACTACTATAGATTTTTTGTGCAAATCACTCCATCGAAAAAAAACTTTGCAAGGTTTCAAGAGAGGTTTCATGCTTTGATGTCGTGATTAGTAGTTTTAAGTTACATCTCTAACAGTGCCAATGCTAAACGACACCTCGTTAATACACGGAACTCGGAACCCGTACCTTTTTCATAGATTCTAATTTCTAGCAATCGCTTGTCGTTGTTGATAGATTCGTGAGTACTTACTCTATCTACACAATGACTTATATATTACCTGAGCTTAAACAGTACTTGCACCTTAGAACCACTAGGTGTCTAGTGGTTATAAAGTTTTCACCTCTGCTTTACAACGATTAGTGACGATTTGTTTTCGACAAGAAAAATTTAGCACACGCGCAAGGACTGTACGCCATTTCGTGAGCCACTTCCCCTCCAAAAACGGTTTACAAAACGCGTGATTTTTTCCAGATTCGGTTGGACGGTATGAATTGATATTTACCTGCGTTTCCAAGATAACCATTGAACTCTGACCCCACGATCCCCCCAGCATGTTTGGTTTGTGACAATACTGACAATTGCAACTAGATCCCGAGAACACCAGAGGGTCCAGTGTCAGAATCGTCACGACTAGTTTTGACTGTCACGAGTCTAAAGTGTCGCAACGTTTCAAACGACATTTCGCGAAGTTTACAACTGTTCAACCTTTCACTCAACAATTTACACATTTTGACTTCATGCGTATTTATGACAACAGATCCCAGACACACAACCAGACAGAATTTCGAAAGAATTTGGCCCCGTTAAACGTACGGGTGAACAGATAGGGAGTGTGTGAATATCACCTCAAACAACACTAGTCGTAGATGCCATGGTGATAAATATGCTTGCGTAACACAGCTCAGTTCAATATAGATGTATACTGAAAGGATGCGTACGTGAGACCGTATATATAAGTTGCACAAACGTTAAATTTGTGCAGTTTTTATGCACTGCGACAGATTAAAACCATTTCCCAGCGGCCATGTGAAGAACTGACATGCAGGCAAACACACGCACACTCACACGCACGTACAATTACATACACACACACACACACTCACATGCACGCACGCACACACTCACACACACACAGCCACCTTCCACAACCCTTCCCCACAGCTACAGAAGACAACACTACCGACTCTACTGCACTGCCTCTCGCCGCACTGCCTACCATCGCCACCCGCACGCTCACACTCACACCTCCCCACCACACATACACACACACACTCACATACACACACACACTCACATACACACACACTCACATGCACGCACGCACGCACGCACACACCCACATACACACGGCCACCTACCACAACCATTCTTCAGCAGCAGACAGGCTGGATGACACATCTCCCCCGCACTGCATACCTCTCCCCCGCACCGCCTACCCCTCCCCGCACCGCCTACCTCTCCCCCGCACTGCCTACCTCTCCCCCGCGCTCTCACACGGCAGCAGCCGACGGCGACCGAGCGCCCTCGTAGCGACAAGCCCTCCTCTGCTTCAGCTCCGCCTCTCTCCCTCCGCCGCCGCCGCCCCCGCCGCCGCGGCAGCAGATGGCGCCACGGTAGAAGCAGCGCCACCAGGCGGCGAGCGTCTTCGGCGACCAGATCCATATTCCCGAGGCGATGCCGACGGACAGCGACATCGCGTACTTCACGAGGAACACCGCGAATATCGGCGCCTCCCTCTCTCCACCTCCTCCTCCGGCGGCGGGGCAGGTGATGTCGGAGTAGTGCGGGGAGGCGTGCGGCGAACACGACGCGACGCGCGCCCACCACGACGCCATCCACGCCTCCAGGTGGAGCTGCTCGTAGAAGACGCAGGCGACGACGGCGGCAGAGGGCGCCGCGTACATCGCCGCGAACGCGCCGATCCGCGCCATCAGCCGCTCCAGCTTCGCCGCCGCCTCCCCGCCGCCGCCGCCGCCGCGCACGACCCCGCGGATCCGGTACAGGCTCGCGAGGCCCGCCGCGAGAAAGAGGGCGCCGGTGAGGAGCGAGGCGGCGAGCGGAGCGACGACGAAAACGCGCGCGGCGGCTGCGTCGGCGACGCCGACGTAGCAGACTCCCGAGAGAACGTCGCCGTCGACCTTGCCGAGAGCGAGGACGAGGATGGTGAGGGCGGCGGGCGTTGCCCAGGCGACGAGGTGGAAGAGGTGGGCACGTTGTTCGATCGCTTCGCTGCTCCATTTTAGTCCAGCGGCGAGGAACCAGGAAACGGTCAGCACCACCCACCTACAACACAGACAGGAGCACGTTATATATATACATACATACAGAGATATATACTACATATACACTATATATAGAGAAAGGAACCAGAAGACAGTGAGAACCAGCCACCTATAACAAACACTAAATATATACACACACATACACCCACCTATAACACAGATACTAAATATATACACATACATACACCCACTTACAACACAGATACTAAATATATACACATACATACACCCACCTACAACACAGATACTAAATATATACACATACATACACCCACCTACAACACAGACACTAAATATATACACATACATACACCCACCTACAACACAGATACTAAATATATACACATACATACACCCACCTACAACACATACACTAAATATATACACATACATACACCCACCTATAACACAGATACAATATGCATATATACAAGATACAAGATACAATACAGATACAATATATAATATGTATTATTAGCTCTTGTATATATATAAATATATATATAGTAAGCACCACCCACCTACAACACAGACACTAACACATGTAACAGGGGTAGAAATTAACTTTTGAACAAGGGGACTCCCTACGCTCAAAAATATGGAATCCGCAGCAAAATGAGAGAGTCCGCAGTCTCAGGTTCAAAATTAAAGATATTCACAATAACGCATGTGACAATGCGTTGCAGTTGCACGTCTGCCAAATTTTCTTCGTACATTAGCTGAAAAAATACAGCAATTCCGCGAGGCTGTGCTTCGCAACAAACTATAGTAATAGTATGGCAGATTTTTCAGGGAGTCACACGGACTCCTGCATATATGTCAAATCAGGGAGTCCGACAGTAAATCAGGGAGTAATTAATTGACTCTGAACTCCTGTTAATTTCGCACCCTGCACTAAATATGCATACATACATATATACACACACTTATGTACAGCACCTACAACACAGACAAGAGATGGTGAGCATCACACACCTATAACACACGCAGACACGTGCGGATATATATATACATATACACATATACATATATATATATATATACATGTATATATATAAATATATATACATGTTTATATATATATTTATTTATATTAGAGGTGTAACAATACACGTACCAGTCAATCAGCAGTCAGGATTGTTTAGCAGGAACAACTTTGGCGACAATATAAGTGCGCCACATATATTGACCCAGATTTCAATGACAGCCGAGGATATTTACACGATACTGAGAGGGGATTTCATAGAATAAAAAAAAGAATTTGATTTGAAAGTCAAAAGAAGAGCATTTTTGTTAAAATCCCATCGAAAATCCTTAGTGGACATGAAAACCAAATCGAACTAACCAAACTCGATCGCAAAATATTCACCATGTTTAATCAACTTGGGAGCACAAACGAGCGATGGATGATAAACGCGATTTTAAAATCAGAATACCAATGCTTAGGCCAAAACAAAATATAGGTGTGGTTACCGTTTCATGCCCCAAAAAAATAGGGTAGGTAGGTAAGGAAAACATTTGATTTTATTGAAACATTTTATTTACGAACCATGTCCGAAGGATGTGCGTTGTGCCTTTTGAAGCAGGAACTGTCCAATTCATATTTTTTATATTTAAAAAAAAAAATTTCTTTTTTACTTTAAAGAAAATTGACAATCAAATGTTTAGGGTCGCTGGGAATAAATAGGGTCGGTCGGGAAACGGTAACCACACCTATATTTTGTTTTGGCCTTATTGCAGTGTACAACTTACCATAGTGCGCTGGCCATTGTGAAGAAATACAGGAGCATGAACAGTATGGTGCAGCCCTCCTTCTTTGTCCCCTGTTACCACAGAACGAAGTTAGATACACAGTACATTGCAAGTCACTGTGAATCGAAAATGTCTGTAACAAGACAAAGCTTCACCCAGCAAACATCAGTCATACACGATTGTATACTCATGGCAATAGTTACAAGTAGTAACTGTGACGTTACTAATGTAACTGTACGTTCATGGTACTATGAGTAACAGTAATAAATGTGATGTTACTAATTGTGATGGTAAGTACTTAGCACAGTAGATTGTAATGTAACTGCATAGCTGAATGCTCATGTTTAATACCAGTAGTAGTTCCAGCAACGCAACAAAACAAACACACGGTTAATATAACAAATAACACAGGGGCTAACGAACCCACCTAATTAGCTTAATTAACTAACGAACTATACTAATTAACTAACAAACTATACTAATTAACTAACGAACTATACTAATTAACTAACGAACTATACTAATCAACCAACAAACTATACTAATTAGCTAACAAACTATACTAATTAGCTAACAAACTATACTAATTAGCTAACAAACTATACTAATTAGCTAACGAACCCACACTCCCCCTTACCTGCGTGACAACTGGTAGGGACTCCACCACGGCCTCCGCCTCGGCGCGTGCTCCGTACCCGTACAGATCGTGAGCCGCCACCGTCACCCTCCCGGTGTCGCGGAACGGCCCCGAGCAAGCGATGGAGTCCCTGAGCACGTAGCCGGCGAGGTAGGCCAGCGCGACGAACAGGTAGCACGCCGAGAGGAACACGATCGGCCGCTCGGGGTAGCGGAATCGCGCGGGGTCGAGCGCAAAGGTCGCGACCGCGAACACGGTCAGCGCGAAGCACGCGACGCTCCACGCCCCGACCCAGACGCGCGCGAACCGTCGCTGCGCCGCGCTCCAGAACAGGTCGTCGCAGGGGGCGCCGCAGTCGGGCGTCGCCGCGCCGCCGCCGACGGCGAGCCGGTAGTCGAGGTTGTGAACGCTGAGGTTGCGCGGGCAGCGGAAGGGAGGTGGCGCCCCCGAGGGGAAGCCGGGGTCGAGCGCGGGCGGACGCGCGGCGGGCGGTGGCGCCCCCTCGGCGGTGGAGTTGGGGCCGACGCACAACCCCGACTCGGGGAATTTGAGGCAGTCGAGTGTCTGCGGCCACTGGAAGCCGAACTTGTTCATGAGGCCCTCGCAGCCGCGACGCGCCGACACGCAGAGACCCCTGCAGGCAGAAAAAACAAACGATGGTGTGTACTCAGGGTTTTGTCCGGGTTATTACTTCTAGTGCCTAGTCTTTTATTTTGGAGAAAAGTAAACTTGTTTTTAAACTTTTGGTACAATGATATGTAGTGGTGGGTGGTCTGCTTCTAAGAAGGATCATTGTCACTTTGCGGGAAAATTACTAAACAAGACAGTTTTGATAAAAAAAAGGTCATCATTTCGAAAAAAATTATGGGCCAATTATGTCAATAAGGTAAATCTAGCTTTAAACTATAAATTATAACCTGTGTTTGGCCGTATTTTGTCCTGGCGATTGATTCTAGTACCCAGTAACTTATTTTACGACAAAGTAAACTTGTTTGTGAATTTTGTAATTACAGTCGGTCCAAAATTCCGGATGCCAGAAATCTGGATCACCCAAGAACCTAGACTTTTCGAAAAACTCTCTCAAACTTTTACAATGTTCATTTTTAAACATAATTTCAAGCATTACACACTTTTTTTTAGTGAAAATTTTTTGTTTACATTTTTGTCAAGTGTTGAGTCTGTTGATTCAGCCACCCTCACGCCCCTAAGCATTTTGGCTATCGGTTTCCGTCACGGCTTGGAGCGCTGATAATTGATGTCACATGCCCAAATTTGGGACTCTTATACACCATATATAGTAACTGAGCTGCGTTGTAGAGACTTAATTTAGAAAACATTGCCGGCTCCATCATGACGGGCATTAGCTGTGCTAGGAAAGATAATGGGAGATAAGGGCATAGGCGATGCCCCGAAATTCACCTATGATAACCGAAACGCTGTTCATTCATAAAGTTATCGCAGAAAAACCGAATAGGAGCCAATATCTCAGCCTAAGAGTATCGTATTGACAAGCGGTTGGTCTTGTTTTAGAGAGCAAAGAATTCTGCTTAATGCAATACCATAAAATTATTCTAGACTCGCAGGCAAAGTAGAATAATGTTGTCGTGAAATAGCACTATTTTTCCGTTTTTCCGTTGTACACTCTAGGTATTATTAGCTCTTGATAGTATACATGGTAGTTTCACATAAAACTTGGTAGTTTTTACAGCATCAACAAGTGAGTATGTATTCGTGAAATATTCGTATTAATATGGCCGTATATTTATACATGTATATGTACATAGGCGTTTGCTCTTACGGTAAGTGTGTTTGTTTTGTGCATGTGATAGCTGTGCGCTCTTACTCGTTTTGAGCAAGATTTTTAGGTGGAAATGAATGAAAAAACAGAGAACATACACTGTGAGATCGCGACCGGTTAATAGAGATTTCCGGATAACGTATGGCCGGATAAAGGAGGTCGTACTGTGGTTGAAAATCCAAAAAACCTAGACGATTTGATGTTATGTTCCTGACATTAATTGCTTGCTACGGGCTATGTACGAGTCACGAGTGTTTGTTTACATCAAACAACATAGTAAAATAGGAATTTATAATGCAGCAATTTAACCATAAAAAGTCAACAGAATTACTTATATTTTGTGAAAAAGTTGAAATATTTATTTTAGATTTTACTATTTACGGCGACGTAATCACTTTAATGCATACCTGCATGGAGGTAGAGCTTCCGGGATGACAGTGCAGACGGGTGCATACATCGCACACAGGAAGAATTTCAGATCCGGAGAGCACTTGACTTCGACGAGAGGAAAGAACTGGTGCACCTGAAACATCGTACGGAAACCGTGCGATAGTATACTTAGTCGTAATCGTATCGAGGTTACGAGGTACCTAGGGTCCGTCGTTGGAAAGAAAATCAATCTCGATATTAACATTGCCTGTAGTTGTGTGCTCAGTCCTAGTTTGGTACCCCTGTATATTATATATATCGCATATATATTAACTAATCCAGGGTGATAAACTAGGATTGGGCTGGATTGTGCACTACAGATTACAGTACAGTACAAGTTTAAGTTACAACTACTACTAGTACCACAGGCACTTGGAGCGTTTCAATAAAATATAATGCTAAATAAATACGAAATCTATTTACTACCAGTCTTAATGTTTCTATACTATCTTTCACCTATTAGTATTATTGCCGACAATTTCCTGCAAATGCCATCCAAATGCTTATCTGCAACAAAAGCTGGCTGCCGCTGCACACTGACACATAAATATATAGCAGGTAGGAAAGTCAAGTGTGCTGCCAAAATTCGCTCGACGCGCGCTTGATTTCACACGAATACAACACAAATATTCAACCATTCTACTCCATCTTTGTTTCTATTTGAAGAACAGTGTTCACTTGTTATAAAAACATACTGTCTGTGTTCGTAACCGAGCTGTGTCACACAAAATCACACAAAGCCTGACGAAATTCTCGTGTTCGCTCCCGTTGCACAGTTTATGTAAATGGCTGCAAGTACAGGGCTATATGCGGCGCACTGCATTCTGGGAAACTACCGCACTGCTTTCCAACTCCCATATGAGCCTCGTCAAAGCCGCCAGTGGAGCGTTGCAAAAACGTTGCAGTGCAAAAATGAGGTCACGAAGAGCGCCGGTGGGTGTTTCTGTTTCTGACAGCTATTTACATAAACTGCGCAATGGGAGCGAACGCGAGAATTTCGTCAGGCTTTGTGTGATTTCGCGTGACACAGCTCGGTTACGAACACAGACAGTATGTTTTTATAACAAGTGAACACTGTTCTTCAAATAGAAACTAAGATGGAGTAGAATGGTTGAATATTTGTGTTGTATTCGTGTGAAATCAAGCGAGCGTCAAGCGCTTTCATACCCGCTATATATTTATGTGTCAGTGTGCTGCGGCAGCCAGCGTTTGTTGCAGATGAGCATTTGCAAGAAATTGTCGGCAATAATAGGTGAAATCGAGAGTATAGAAACATTAAGACTTTGGTAGTAAATAGATTTCGTATTTATTTAGCATTAATCCCATTATATTTTATTGAAACGCTCCAACTGCCTGTGACTAGTACTACTACTAGGTTGACGCCTGTTAGTGTTGCTGATAGGGTCTATGTCCCCCAGGGTACTGCCGGAACGTACCCTGGTACTAGCTCTAGTACTATAGCCCGCGTACATTGACTGCCGCAGGGCTATAGCACATTGTTGGCTGGAAATACCAACTGCAACCTGTCACCACCTGTCCCCACGAAAAATGGATCGCAAAACGCAAAATTATCGAGCTTTTTAACACTTATCTATCTACGTGGACATCTCACCTATCTTTTTGAACACTTTACACAACTTTACACCATGTATTTATCCTTTTATTCCACAAAGTAAGCACTACTGGAAATTCCCGTTTGAAATTCTGGCGTGCGTACGCGTGACGTCCGGCATTGTATATACATGCCATGTGTCTTGCCTACAGATCCGGTGCGTGTATATTATACAATACCGGTGACGTCACGCGTACGCACGCCAGAATTTCAAACGGGAATTTCTAGTAGTGCTTACTTTATGGAATAAAAGGATAAATACATGGTGTAAAGTTGTGTAGTGTTCAAAAAGATAGGTGAGATGTCCACGTAGATAGATAAGTGTTAAAAAGCCCGATAATTTTGCGTTTTGCGATCCATTTTTCGTGGGGACAGGTGGTGACAGGTTGCAGTTGGTATTTCCAGCCGACAATGTGCTATAGCCCTGCGGCAGTCAATGTACGCGGGCGATAGTACTAGAGCTACCCTGGTACTAAATACTACTATCTAATATGCCGGACCGTACCTCGCCTACTCCACTAACGAGTCTAGGGAGTCGCCTACGCCTACTCCTAACTCTAACCCTAACACTAACCCTAACCATATCAGCTAGATAGTTACCAGGGTACGTTCCGGTATACCGGACCGTACCCAGGGTACGTTCCGGCAGTACCCTGGGGGACATAGACTCTATCAGCGTTAGTGTTACTGTTTAGTGTTACTCGATCTGTTAGTGTTACTGGAGCTAGTGTTACTGTAGTGCTAGCGTTGGAAACACAGTTGCAGAGACCCAATGCTCCACAAACGGAGTCAAAGGGAGATAAAAAAAACAATTCCACGTCCGCACCTCCAGACCAGCTTCTTCCTGCTTCTGGTGATTGAGTAGATTCGGCATGATCGTTTCGTTGTAGGGTAAGTTATCACAGAGTGGTATCGTGATCGGTTCACATCGGCCATGTTTGGGAACGGTGTCTGGATCAGCAACTCCGCTCTCTGATATGCTTCGATCTCCATCTACCGCTATTCCTAAAGTCACTACAATGATTACGATTAATGCAACGTGGGAAAGGGGGTAAGGCATAGTTAAACTAGTATTATAAAGCCACAATCACACGATTGACAAGAAAGCCATGGATATTTGATCATTCGAAACGAGCAGTGGATTCGTGATAGCAATATCGGAAACGAGCGCCGAATTCGTCTGAGAATAAAAAAAATATGACGCTCATATAAACTGTGGGTGTTTTATGGCATCATGTTTATAGTAAGGTAAGTGCGCATAATTTACAGGCGATGTAGAGCAGGGAGTTTTCGTGAATTGGGGATTTATTAATATCGAAAACCGTGTACCAAAGTTGAGACTTATTTCTCAGATAACATCTCACATTTTTGTGGCATCTTGTCAAGTAATAATATATTATTTGAGCCGAGATTGTGATATTCCCGATTGAGATCACATAATCGGAAAGGTGCACGCAGTGCTGTATTTTTATTAGACGTTAAATAATGGAAAAACATATAAAACAGTTAAATGAATTAAAGATGACCCATAAATGAAATAGATACGAGCCAACAGCGAGAAGCTTTTCCACCAGCTAATCCTCGATAGTATAGTGGTCAGTATCCCCGCCTGTCACGCGGGAGACCGGGGTTCAATTCCCCGTCGGGGAGATGGTATGTCTTTTTTACCGTTTTAATTTTCTTATCATTGACGGTACTTCAAACAAATTCTAGTTCCTACATCGCATAAATTATGTACGTTTTATTCGGGTGGAGGTGCGAAGGTTTTACTGATGACTTAAATAATAATTTACACTTATCCAAGAGTCGTTTATGTTTATATTAGACATATTTGAGATCATGTATATATATAATAAATTAAATTCTGCCTCTTTTCTCCCAAAGCTATCATGACCTTGCAATAGTCCATAAATCAACAACCTTCCCGAAGCGTATGTATTAGGGATATTTTACATTTATCTATAATAAATTATATTTTGTCCCCTTTCTCCAGAATCTACGGCCTTGCACGTATTAGGAATAGCCTATACTTTACATTGTATTTATGATAAATTATATTTTTGCCCCTTTTCTTCTGAAGCTACGGTCTTGCATGCCTATAGTCGTACCAAATCCCCATGCAGCATAGCTCAGCGAGAAACGTGCGTTCGCGCATGCCCAGTAATACCAGTATCTGCTGAATAAAATGGTATTTTGTTTGAAATTATGAGAGGAAATATTCGTCACAGTAGCATATCATGAAAAATAAATCCCGATGCCTCTATTTAATAATTATAGCTGGCCCTGGGTGGCGTAGCAGTCAGCTAATAGGTGGCGACATGTGGCCTACCTGAGAGATGCAACTGAATATCCAGCCATTATTTGTCAAATAAGTGGATTAATTTATAAATGTGTTAATATTAAACTTCTAATTTCGAGAGAACATACCAGCGATAGATTGACATGAAATATATCTATCCAAATTTCACACCTTACAATTTATCACAAGGGGATTTCTATAGTCTATAGTACAAAACTTCCCTGTTAGTGTTACATGCATAGCGGTATAGATGTCTGTTTTCTAATGCACGTCATCTCCAAGACAACATAACAGTTTGTTGACGTTATACGTTTAAAATTTTAAGGAAATACTTGTTGCAAATTGCTTGTGATGAAAAATGACTCTCGACGATCTGCAGCCCTGATATACGTGCGAAGCGCGAACAGCGCCGCCTCGCGGCGCCTTTTGATCGAATTCGCTGCCCTCTATGTAGAACTATATACGCGAGGCCCTCTGGGTAGTACATAAAGCCGAATAATCAGTCAATTGAGGAGTTGTGGCGATTGCAGAAGCCTTTCGACTCTGCACGTAGGGCGAGAATAAATCCAAATGCTCGTAATTTCAAGTTTTTTGCGTCGGCGCTTTAGGTTTTCTCTAGAAAAGCGATTTCCAATTTCTTGCATTTTACGCCCTGAACTTATTCTCGTACATATGGCGTGCCATAGATGGCGCGACGAGGCTGTCTTCGAGGGATTTTCCAGAGAATTTCCACACAAAGGAACGCCGATTCGGCTTAGACTGCGCCGCGATGGACAGTTCGACACGCTGCACTAACTATAACTTTATATTGTGCACCAGTCTAGCTGGAATCGTGACGTCCGAGTGTAATTCTCGTAGCCATCTTAGGACACCGCAGCCTCACTGATGATGGTTGTTTACACTAGATTCCGACTAGACGTTATGTGGAAAACCACCAGCCGTAT